TGGTCACTTTTAACTTTCTGAAGTCTGAAAACATTCTGTGATATTTGACTTTTAGAAAGATAAGCTGTTTTGTTGTTGCTTTTGTATGATTAGCAACATGTACCCATTTAGAATACATTTTTTATAAAATATTACATTGTTCTTAAACAATGGGGTTTAATTCCTGGGTCATATTTTAATAAATTTTCTTTTCAAGGTTTGAAATAAGGCATTATTTTCATTGAAAAATGTTTTTGTGTTTAAATGACATTATTGAATTACATTACAAAATTCCAAACTGTTAAGAGACAGAATTATATTTTCTTCATACTCTGAGGTTTGCTATTCATGAATGTAAGAAAGCACCAAACATTTACTTTGAAGATCTGCACATAAAGCTGTATTTATTTCAATATGAACATGTAAATAAATCACCAGAATCTCCAATGTTATTTTTAATTAAGATTCTAGACATTACTCTTCATTTCCAATGTAGCCGTTTTCCAAGGCCATCTAGGAATTTCTCAAAATGGATCAGTGGCTTTCTTTATTATGAAAGATGTGTAAAGAAAAACAAATTTTGTATTTATTCATTTATTTTTGCAGTACTGGGGCTTGAACTCAGGGCCTACACCTTGAGCCACTCCACCATCCCTTTTTTGTGATGGGTTTTTTTGAGATAGGGTTTGAGATAGGGTCTCATGAACTATTTGCTTGGGCTGGCTTCAAACCACAATCCTCCTCATCTCTGCCTCCTGAATAGCTAGGATTACAGGCGTGAGCCACCACCATCCAGCTGGTGGTCATTTAAAAAATTTAAATGACATTTTAAGAGAAATTTACACTAAGAGATTGTGGAGTCTTCTAAAAGATATAAACCATTGATGAAGAATGTAAAATCTGATTAAAAGTGATACAAAGTTGTTCTTTCTCTGCTGTTAGATGAGAAGAGTCTTTTTATGAATAGTTTAAGAATTTAACATAAGGGGCTTTGGTAGATGCACTGTTATACTCCCCACTGTGCTGCTAGGAGTAGGTGGAACTGTTCATTAGAGATGTGGTAAGTCAAGCTATATTGATAGGCAATTTAGAGGGATACTGTTTTTTAAGTTTTGTGAGGTGTTGAGCTGGAGGTTTGTATAGTCACTTACTTGACTAGATGAATATTGATGATGGAGTTTTTAAATTCACAATGTAGAAAGGAGTGAACACTTATCACAACTGAAGGAAATGTGTGGTTAAACGGTTTCAGCTATAACTGTAGACTATTTCCCTTGGTCCAAATGGGAGAAGTAGAACCTTGTTTTTTAGGCTTTTTCCTAGTAGAAGTAGAAATTGGTTCAGCGTAGTATCTCGAGTACTTTTTCTAGCATATTTCTAATTATTGGCAGTCAGTTCTTAAACATCTCTTAAAAGAAAATACAAAACTTTGTTGAGGAAACTGCTGTATTAAGTACAGAAAAGACTGATGCTTTTGGTATTTTTCCTTGAAATGAGATTGTTTTATCAATTTTCTATCATTATATATAATAAAAATACCAGTTTTTGGCTTACAAAGCACTGGAATTATCCAAAGAAAACATTTGGTGTAAATTAAAATTTTCATTTATAAAGATGTATTTAATTATCTGGTGGGGGTTGGGTTTTTCCTTTTAATTAGTTTGTTTATATACATTTATTTTTGGCAGGACTGGGGGTTGAACTCAGGGCTTCACACTTGCGAAGCAGGAGCTTTACCACTTAAGCCAAGCTCTACTCCATTTCACTCTGGCTATTTTGGAGATGGGGTCTTGTGAACTGTTTGCCTAGACTGGCCTTGAACCACGATCCTCCTGATCTTAGCCTCCTAAGTAGCTAGGATTACAGTACCACTTTTTGGTAGTACTGGAGTTTGAACTCGGGGCCTCACCCTTGCTAGGCAGGCATTCTACCAGTTGAACCACTCTGCCAGTCCCCCATTTTAAGTTTTTACTAAATTTAACTTACTTGGTTAATTTCTAATATTTAACAATTTCAACAGGCACAACAGCAAGTCACAGGCACCTGACTATTTTATTTGTTTATTTTGATTCATAGTCTCACTATATATCCCAAACTGACCTCAGACTTGCTGTGTAACCCAGACTTGCCTCAAATTCATGATACTCCTGGTATAATCTCCCAAGTGCTATTTTACCTGGACTTTTTGAAAACGCATTAGAGTCCTGCTTGTTCTGTATTTTAAAAATCTTATACAAGGCAGTGATTTAAATTTATGCTGATTTTCATTCAGAAGCCTATGTTAAATAAGGTAGAGAAGACTGAGGGCATGGCTCAAGTGGTAAGAGAGTGTGTCTAGGAAAATGAAGTCCTAAGTTCAAACTCTTGTAGTGTCAAAAAGAAAGAAAAGAGAAAGAGTAACAGAACAGTGTGGCATTAAGAGTGGGGGAGATTGTAGGAACTGTATTATATTTCTCTTATATTTTTATCTGTAGCATAATAAAATATTCACCTTGAGATGATAATAGCCTTAGTAACTAGCTATCTTCTGTAAATGGAGTCTTAATTAACTCTTGAGGGCTGGGTGTGTGGCTCAAACGGAAGAGTGCCTGCTCTGGCAAGTACAAAAAAAAAAGGCCATTAACTTGAGAACAATTAAATTTTAGACAGTATGAGAATTTGGTGATTAAAAGTGATCTGAATTTGGAAACCATACCTAAAATGGCTTTTGCACTAGGGTTATTTATTTGAACAAGAACGATTATATTTTTGTCAAAGAAAAGTTAAAAGTGTAAGACTTTCAATTATTTCAGAGTATAAGAATGTAACGCTTACTGATAAAATTGAAGGTTCATCAAATGAGATACTTTTGGTTTCAGCAATTTTGAAAAATCTAAAATCTATTGATACTTTCTTAAACTTCAGTGCATAAAGTATGGTAGATTGAACATACTTAATTCCTCAGAGACTTGAGATGTTATAGCATCCCAAAATACTCATTTTAGATATTTCTCTAACTTATAAGCCGATATAGGTGTGGATATGGTATAGGAAGTCTGCTTCTCACTCAAAAGTATTGAATGTGTGGAGTAAACATTCTCATTTAAGGTTTTTGGTAGTACTGGGGTTTGAACTAGTACCTCACCCTTGGTAGGTAGGCGTTCCACCAATTGAACCACTCTGCCAGTCCCCCATTTTAAGTTTTTAGCAAATTTAACTTACTTGGTTAATTTCTTTTTTTTAATTTTTATTTTATTCATACGTGCATACAATGATTGGGTCATTTCTCCCCCCTTACCCTCCCCCCTTTAACTTCTAATACTTAAGAATTTCAGCAGCGACTTGAAATAACTAACTTTTGGGTTAGTTTGTAAGTTTCTAGACAAATGATTTATTTCACATACAGTCAAATCCTGTGACCTTAAAAAATTTTTCCATTATAAGCCAGGCACTGTGGCTCATGCCTGTAATCCTCACTACTTGGGAGGCTGAGATTAGGAGGATGGAGGTTCAAGGCCAGTTGGGGCAAATAGTTCAAGAGACTCCTTCTCCAAAATAACTAGAGCAAAATGGACTGGAGGTGGCTCACACAGTAGAGTGCTTGCTTGGCAAGTACAAAACCCTGAGTTCAAATCCCAGTCTCATTAAAAAAAAAATTTCCCACTATATTTAAAAGACTGTGAAGCTGGGCATTGGTGGCTTACACTTAGAATCCTAGCTACTTGAGAGGCAGAGATCAGGAGGATTGAGGTTCAAAGCCAGCCCAAGCAAATAGTTCGAGAGACCCATTTTGAATATACTCAACTCACACAAAAAAGGGCTGGTGAATGCTCAAATGGTAGAGCTCCTGCCTAGCAAGTGTGAGACTCTGAGTTCAAATCCCACTACTACCCAAAAAAAAAAGGTGAAGTAGTTTGAATTAAATTCCTTATAAAAGATAGTAATGCTTTGTACTGGGTCACTTAAGGACAAACCACATATTATCTAATGTTATATGGCATTAAATGTGTTATCAGTTAAGATTCTTTGGCTAAAAGCAGTTGAAATCGGGTTGGGGATGTAGCTCAGCAGTAGAGCTTGCCTGGCATGCATGAGGCCCCAGGTTTGATTTCTAGCATCACCAATAAAAAGGAGGGGGATTATAAAACTAAGGATAGTGTTAGGAGTCTGACCCTGCAGGGGTCCAGGTTGAGAGAGGAGTGCATACTTTTTTCAGATGATAGTGAATTCCAGTTGTTTTTCATGTTTATATCTTTCTACTAAAGAAAAGCATCAGGACAAAGATTCTGGTTGCCCTATCTTTGGCTAGAAGAGCAAAGATACCTACTTCAAATATCTTCACAATTTTTTTTTTGGTGGTATTGGGAATTAAATACAGGGCCTTTTGAATGCTAGGGAAGTGCTTTGCCTCTGAGCTACATTCTCAGCACTTTGACAAATTCTATAGAAATTCTTTAAAAAATAATGTGAAAGAATTGTGACCAGAAGAACTAGGCATGGCCATGCATGCCTGTAATCCTAGCGCTCGGGAAGCTGAGGCAGGATTTTGAGTTCAAAGTCAATGTATTACATAGCAAGACCCTGTCTCAAAACAAAAACAACTAAAGAATTGTGAATAAGGGCTGCTATGTAGCTCAGTGGGAGTAGTGCTTGCCTTGTATGTACAAGACTGGATGCCAACCCCAGCACTGCAGAATGAGAATCCTATAAGGCAGAATAATTTACGGAATATGGTCAGTGTTTATGGTTCTTATGTGTGTGTATGTGTACATATGTATAAACATAATTACACACATACCATTATAGATGTAATACAAACCTGTAGTTTTTTTTTTTCTTTCCTAATTTATAGTGCTGGGGATTGAACCCAGGTTCTTGGATATGTGAGGCAAATACTGCTGCTGAGCTACATCCCCAACCTTTAGTTCTTAATGTTATACTTGTTTTTTTTTTTTTAAAGAAAACTGTTGTAAGGTTGACATGAGTTTAATCCTTGGATTTTTCATTTATCTAATGGTTTTCATCCTTTTCTGTTGTCTTAGGTGTATTTGAAGGCTCCCATGATTCTGAATGGAGTCTGTGTTATCTGGAAAGGTTGGATTGATCTTCAGAGACTGGATGGTATGGGCTGCTTGGAGTTTGATGAGGAGCGAGCCCAGGTATGATGACTTCAGTCTTTGCTGAGTGTGGTTCCTTTATAAATAGCACCTAATACTGCTTTTGTCTGTGGACTTGTTTTACCTAGCCTTTAGATGAGAGCAGCTTACACCTATAATCCTAGCTGCTCTGAAGCAGAGATCAGGAGAATTGAGATTCGAAGGCAGCCCTGTGCAAATAGTTCCAGAGACCCTATCACAAATACCCAACACAAAAATGGGGCTGGCAGAGTGGCTTAAGTGGTAGAGTGCCTGCCTAACAAGCATAAACGCCTGAGTTCAAACCCCAGGACAGGAAAAAAAAAAAGAGAATTACATTCAAGTAATGTCAAAAACTCTTAAAAATATCTAGAGTCACTTTTTTTTTTTTTTATCCCAGTACTGGGGTTTGAATTTAGGGATTCACACTTGCTATGCAGGTGCTCTACCACTTAAGCCATTCTGCCAAGTCTCTTTGGTGTTGAGTATTTTCGAGATAGGGTCTCACAAACTATTTGTCCAGGGCTGGCTTCAAACCGAGATCCTCCTGAGTAGCTAGGGTTACAGGCGTGAGCCACTGGCACCCAGTGAGAGTCACCTTCTGGTCCTCATTTTGGGAAAGTTTTTCTTTCAGTGGTTCTAAATTTAACTAGATTACTCCTCTGTCTGCTTGCTGGAGACTTAAAAATCCAGCAAATGGTTGTTTTTAATATTTGTTCTTGCTCTTTAGAATATTATGGAGGGAATAAAGAAACACTGAAAATAAAATTATGAACAGCACTTTTGGAGGCTTTAAAAATATATTTCAATGTATATTTAGTATATGTAAAATATATATTTAATACATTTTTATTGAACTCAGGGTCTTGTGCTTGCTAGGCAGGCGTGTTAAATTTGAGCCACACCTCCAGCCCTTGGACAGCACTTGTGGGATTCAAGAATGAGGAGCTTGACATATTCTCTCCCCAAAAGGCATTGGTAAACTGGACAAATATTGTTACAAAACAAAAGCCCCAAACAGTCATTTAAGGTCTCTGGAAACTAACCAAGGGATGCAAATTAAGAGACATTTACTCATACAGAGCTATTGAATTTTAGTCAGATCTGTGACAGTAAGAAGCTGCTGTCATCATCCCTTCTCCAGTTTGTGGTCATTCCAGTTCTACCCTGGGCAGTCAGGGCAAGCCATAAGGGCTGGCTGGTAGTTTTGCTATCCTATCAGAGACAGCAAACTTTATTTATTTTATATTTTGGTGGTACTAGGGGTTTGAACTCAGTTGCTAGGCAGGTACTCTACCACTTGAGCCACTCCACCAGCCCATTGTCGTACTTCTTAAAATTATTTTATCAATCACAAAAAGATGTTTCATCTTTAGTGTAATGACCTTCCAAATGTGTTTGATTCTGTGATGAGGTTACAAAAATAGAATTAACAGATTCTGTTCTGTTACCTGATGACACTGGTCTAAAACAGGTTTTTCTTTCTTTTATTTTTTGGTGGTTCTCGAGTATGAACTCAGAGCTTCCGCTTGCTCAGCATGTGCTCTGCCACTTGAGCCATGCCTCCAGTCCATTTTGCTGTGGTTATGTTATGTTGGGGATGGGGAGTCTCATGAACTATTTGCCTAGACTGGCCTTGAACTGAGATCCTCCCATTCTCAGCCTCCCAAGTAGTAAGATGACAGGAATGAGCCATTATTGGTGCCTATTTTACATTAGTTATTTTTCAAATAAAGTCTTGTGTTTTTAGTCTCACTACTTACACTGTACGGATGACAGGCGTACACCGCCATGCCCAACTTCTGAAGTTTTTCTGTTAATGAAGCCAACATATAAACACCTTTGCTTTTTTTGTATGTACACAAGAATGTGGATAGAATTAATTTGAAACTGATTTTTTTTTTTTAATGGCACTGGGATTTACTGATGCTTCTTCAGTTTTCTTTTGGTTTTCATATGAGAAGTAATAGCATTATGATCCCCACAGAATAGCAGTTACCAGTAATTTTGTGCAAATTCATGTTTTTCAACTTGCTTGAGAATTATTTTTCTTTTCTTTTTTTCTTTTTTTAATTTTGGGTATTGAAGTCAGGGCCTCATCTTAGTTTGTTTTCAGATAGGATCTTGTGCTTTTCCATGCTGGCCTACCTCTGCTTCTGAAGTAGCAGAGATTACAGGCATGTGCCACCACAACTGACTTATTAGTGTATGCGTATACAAAAAGGGTGATTTCATTGTTACATTTCCATACATGGATCTAATGCACTTCAATCATATTCACTCCCTGTATTTCTTTCATTTGCTCAATACCTCCCTTTTTTTAACTTTCTTGCCATTTTTTTAAATGTGTTTCATTATCGCCTTATCATATATGTATATTATACAGTGTACTTTGATCATATTCTCCTACCCTCACACTCGCTTTTCCTCTTTCCACCTCCTGCTGGTTCCCTTTGAAATAGGCCCTTTTATTTTTGAGACCTAGATTCTGCAAACAAGTGGTAACATGATATTTGTCTGAGTGGTTTTTTTGAGACAAGATGTCACTATGCAGCCCAGGCTGGGACTACATGTGTGCTGTGCACCACAACGTCCAGCTCCAGCTGTGCTGGACTAGCCACCTGGTTACTTTGTGCAGGTTAGAGTAACAAGCTAGTGTGACAAGTGGCCATGGGGACTATAATATTGGCTAACCCCCTCCCCATCATCACCTGAAACTGGATAGAGTTAAATTGTCCTTAGCAGTTAGTCTACTTCACAGGTGAGCCTGTAGTTACATTAGCAAGTTCTGTCTTTGAAAGGGAGATGTTACTTGCATTGCAGTATAAAGGACAAGGATGACACAAGTAATTGCCCATTAATTTTACAATTTTACCATCTGTTAGAATGTGAATTCTGCCCACTGCACATCCCACTTATCACTAGAAAAGACCAAGACAGAAGTTGGAAGTAGAAGGTAGAAGGCTATCAAATCTCTCCTGGCTTAGTTAACTATAAGATTAGTAATACTTTTTATTCTTTTAATGAAGAAAATCTATGACTATTGCTAGTATACATAGTTGTCATTAATAACTTTCTTAGAGAATTAAATCACATCTTACATTACATTACATGTTCTCATTTTATCCTAAAAATTTGCTCTACTGATGTTAATCACAGATGGTAATTTTATACTGTTTTGTTAATTTTGTTTTATTTTCCACCTGCCCCACTGGACCACAAGTTCCATGGGGAAATCATTTGTTTCCCTATATTGTATCCATGGCACTGAGCACTGTAAACTGAGCATAATAAAACCTTAATAAACATTTGTGGGATGAATGAAAAAGTGAATAAATGCACAGGACAGAAGGATATCGTCATCAGTAGATATGCCCCTGTTGATAGCTAAGTAAATAGAAAGTCCTTGGGAACTGAGGACAGTATTCTTTTGCAGGTACCTCTGACTTACTTAGTATATACTGAAAATTCATAAGTTTGTGTAGTGATGTTTAGTCAAATGTGTTTTATATATCCATAAATGCTTGAAAAATAATAGCACTTACTGAATGCTGTCATGTAGTGTGCTTAAGCACTTTTTTTTATGTGTTGTCTTATTTAATCTTCACAGTGTTTTTGTAAGATATTACTGTGCCCATTTTACAGGTGAATTTATTGAGACCTACAGATATGAAATACCTAGCCCTGGGTCCTAAAGACAGTTAAGTGTATCATAAGACCTGGAGTGGGGGAATTTGTTTTGGTGAGTAGGGAAAGGAAAGAGGATACTCTATTATTATAACATGATTGAACATGACTGCTATTTCCAAGGTACAATGTAAGATATGAAAATGCACTGTTGAACTTTTTAAAGTACCTCAAAAGTAAGTAGTTGTGGGATTTTTTTTGAAGTTGGCATTTTGAAAAATACCCTGTTGTTTCCTTCATAAAATATCCTCAAATTTAAACTTTTCACTATAACTCAAAAGTAAAATACATATTTCATGTATTCTGACAGCAGGAGGATGCATTAGCACAACAAGCCTTTGAAGAGGCTCGGAGAAGGACACGTGAATTTGAAGATAGAGACAGGTCTCACCGGGAGGAAATGGAGGTGAGAGTTTCACAGCTGCTGGCAGTAACTGGTTAGTACTTTCCCCCAAACTCTCAGGCTGTGTTTGTGATGTTTGTGAATAATGTTTAATAGTTTAAATTTGTCTTTCACTGAAAAAAATTGTGCATGCTTTCTATTTATTAAATGCAATTGCTGTAAATATTTTAAGGTAGTGAATGAATTACTCATTTATTGGTCTTCATAAAAAACTGTTTGCTATAAGAAGGTATACGTTCTCTTAATTCATTGACTTAAATATCTTACCTTTTTTTTCTTAATTATTTTTGTCACTATTTGTAAAAATTACCTTAACATAGAATGTTATCAAAACATTTAGAACATTATTAAAATCCTTTAGGAGTAATATTTTTCATTGTTCTATGAATATCTTGATTTTGAAATAGTATAATTTTAAGTCATTTATATTATCGCTTTACTAGAGGAAAATTTAATATTTTCAGACTACTCGAAGTATGGAATTAACAGATCATGTTTCTTTTAACCTTATTATAAAGCAAAATAAAGACTCTTATAACTACTTTCCAGATCAAAAAGTAAAGCTTTGACACCACAGAAGCCCCCTCTACCACAGTAACCACCTCTATGTATGTCTAATCATGACGTTACTCTGATCAAAAGTAATTATTACCCAGTTGTTACAACAATTACTTCCTTTTGTTTCTTTATAGGTTTATTATCCATGAGTTCAGTCTTAGACATTATTTAGTATTGGCTAGTGTTAAAAATGACTTGAGAGGCTGGGGACGTGGCTCAAGTTGTAGAGCACCTTCCTGGCAAGTGCAAGGCCCTTGGGTTTATACTCCCTGGTACTGCCAAACAAACCTTTTTTATTTGTTTATTCGGGTTTTTTTTCTTTGTTTTTCTTTCTATTTGATGTTTTATAAGTTACATAAACATTTACTTTTATTTTAAAATTGGATCTTGTGAGCAAAATATGATGGTACATGTCTATAATTGTAGTTCTCGGGAGGCTGAAGCAAGGGGATTACTAGTTCCAGGCCAGCCTGGGATACATAGCCAGATCCTATCTTGATAAGATAAAAAAGCTAAAAATTAAAACAAATCATAACCCTCTTTTAAGCAGATGTCAGTTAAAAAAATAATAATAATAATGTTGGACAAATAAATTGTTGAGAAATACAAATTATCTGTTTTTTTTAAACTGAGAACTTTTTGCGGGAGAGGGGAGTGGGTACTGGGGCTTGAACTTAGGGCTTCACACTTGCTAGGTAGGCATTCTACCATTTGAGCCACTCTTCCAGCCCCCAAATTCTGTTTTAAAGAGAATGTTGTGCTGGGTACCCTATCTCAAAAAAAACCCTTCACGAAAAATAAAAAGGGCTGATGGAGTGGCTCAAGGTATAGGCCCTGAGTTTAAGCCCCAGCGCCGCAAAAATAAACAAACAAACAAATAAATTAATACAAAGACTGTTGTTAAATATTAATACCTATCATTTGCTTCAAGTTTATAAACTTAGTCTGAAAATAACATGAACATTTCACACAAGAAGAGGTTAGCATATATATATGCATATATACACATACATATATATGTATATGTATATTTTTTTTCTTTTTGGTGGAACTGGGGTTTGAACTCACGGTTTTGGGCTTGCAAAGCAAGCACTCTTCCTATTTGAGCCACATCTCCTATCCATTTTACTCTGGTTATTTTGGAGATGGGGGAGGTCTCACAAACTTACTTGCCTGGGCTGGCCTGAAACCACAATCCTCTTGATCTCATTCTCCCAAGTAGCAGGGATTAAAGTGTGAGCCACCAATACCTGGCTTCATTTTGATAATGAAAAGATATTAAGAACCCAGGTATGATGACACACACTATAATTCCTGGACTCAGGAGGCCAAGACAGAAAGATCACAAGTTTGAGATCAGTCTGGGCTATTTAGTGAGACTCTTGTTTCAAAGAAAAACATTAAAAGGTAAGCATACTGTTATCAATTAAGTAGAGTAACCTATAGACATTAAAAATCAATTTTATGGGGCTGGAGGTATGGCTCAAGTGGTAAGAGTACCTGACTAGCAAGTCCCAGGTTCTGAATTCAAACCTCAGTACCACACATACACACAAAACATATAATATATAATATACAATATATATGATAGCTAGATCTATACACACACACACACACACACACACACACACACACACAGATACATCTAAGCTAGTGAATTTCATAGACACAAAGTAAAGTGGTGGTTACCAGGGGAAAATGGGTAGTGAATGTTTAATTGAGTATAGAGTTTCAGTTTTGCAAGGTGAAAAGAGTTCTAGTAATTAGTTGCAAACAGTGTGAATGTACTTGACACTACTGAACTGTGCTCATAAAAAGATAGTAAACTTAGATCCCTGGCACCAAAAAAGAAGTAGAATTACAGGATAAAGTAATGATCCAGTTGTTTTTGATTCGTTACTAGGGACAGAGATATACAAATGTAAGTATATGGCTTCTGTCCTTGAGCATCTGTCAGTCTTGAGGGAAAATGGATGTAGAAGCAGATAATTACAGTGTCCATTAGCAGCTGCCATACATAATGGAAGTTCAAAGAGGGATAGTGGTAATAGAAGAAGGAGCATTTAAGCTTGCCTCTGCTTGGGAGGTTCACAGGAGAATGAATATACTTGCAGGGATTCCAAAGAAGAGTGTGGGTTTGCCAGCTGGACAAGCTGGGGGAAGCTTTCCTGGCAGGAAGAACAGCATATGCAAAGGCAGGATGAACAAGGGAGCTTGACAATTCAGAGAACATGGACAGTTTTTCTGGAGTAGATGAATGTATTTAAAGAATAATAATTTGACATTAATGGGAGAGTTGTTTAGGAAGTTTTCATATTTATTTATTTATTTTGTGGTACTGGAGCTTGAACTCAGGATCTACAGCTTGAGCCACTCCACCAGCTCTATTTATTGAAAGGTTTTTCCGAGATAGGATCTCACGAACTATTTGCCCCGGGCTGGCTGCAAACCATGATCCTCATGATCTCTTCCTCCTCAGTAGATAGGATTACAGGTGTGAGCCACCAGCACCCAGCCTGTGTTTTACTTTTAAAAAAAATAAATATTAACTGACTAAATTGTCTACTTTGAGTTGTTAGTTTGATTTTTTTAACTTAGAATATTACTTGAAAAAAAATTTCTATAAGTTTGTGTGCGTCTGTGAACAAAAGATATATCTTGTTGACAGAGTTGTCAGTTTGTTGCTCAGATAGATTGTTTATATTACATTGTTTGTCAGTGATTGAGAGGATGGGCTTTTTCACATTCCTGCTCCATCACTTGCCAGTCTCTTAAGCCTCAATTTTCTTATAGAAATTATTGTGAAAATTAAATGGGAAAATGTTTATAAAGCAGTTAGTATGGTGCTTGGCATGTGTATGCCTGCAGTAAATAATAGCTCTGAAGTACTTCTTTAGCACTAAAAGCTCTACCACTGTGCTGCTTCCAGTTAATCGAATTATCTGGCCAGCAAGAACATCCTTTTAGTTCTCTAAAGTGTATTAGGGCACTTTCCCTGCATTATGACCTAGAGCATAAGAAAAATAGTTAAATTTTTATCAGTGATTTAAGATCCTATAGTCCTTTTACACCAGTAATTTAAAACATCAATTCTCTTAGAGAACTGTCGTCTAGAAAACTGGTCTGGAATCTGTCTCCAGAGCATACACTGGCGGTGCTGTAACAGGATTTGGGGGATGTATGTCTTTTTGGCACTTTGCACATATGTATTTTGCTTTCCTGTCCTCCCTTTTTATTTTTATTTTATTTTTTGGTGGTGCTAGGGATGGAACTCAGAGCATTGCTCTGCCACTTGAGCTATGCCCTCAGTCCTGCCTTCCTTTCTCCCTCTCCTTCCCTGTCTCCCTCCCTCCTTTCCTCCTTCCCTCCTTAAATTCTTCCTAATTCTGCATATTTTCTCCCACTTTATTTTTTTCTTAAAAGAACAGTGGAGAAAAATGATGTTTCCCCCTGTAATTCAAACATCGTTAGAAATTTGAGCATCATTTAATCTCAGTCTTCAAACAGTTGATGAAAATGAGACTCCCAGAGAAATTAATTCACTTGTTTTCTTTCAAATACTTGGCCAATGGAAGAAAAGGTGAGGACTTAAATCATAGTTTCCCAGCAGGAGAGCTCCACACACAGCCTACCAGTAGGGAAACTAATTTCCATACCACCCATAAAGATGATTAGGCTGAAAAATAAAACTTGCCAGGAGATGTTAGAAACCATTTTGCCAGAATAGAAAAGGCTAAGGCAGAAAAGAATAATATTGGTTCCAGTGGGTGGTCCTGCTGTCTGACTGGAGACGAGGGCCAGGGAACAGTGGTAACTTGTGGGTGGCGGTAACCCAGTAAATGGTCTTTGAAAGCCTGTGATTCTGGCAGCACTGAGGCTCAGGGATGTCCGCTACTGTTTGGATAACCCCTGAGACATCTATCCCTGCCTTGCTAAACTTATAATGGTTCTCCTCATGAGCATTTAATGTATGTGTAAAGTTAAGGTTCTAACATCAGGAAGCAAAACTCTCAAATAGCTGGTGGCTCAAAGGGTTTCAATTTTCACCAGTGTTTCTTAACCTAAAATCAGTTATAGAACTCTTTAGGCATGTTTCCATTTTGCTATCTGTAAAATTTTGAAAGTTTTCTTAACCATTCATAGTAAGATTTAGCATTTCCTTTTTCTGTTTTTTCAGGAAAGGCTATTTCTTCTTTACCTTTTAAAGGTAATTAAAGATTATCATTAATTTGGTAATTGAAAAACTGTAGTGAAACGAAGAAGCAATTATTTTAGTAACCTTGGCCAAATAAATTCTCTTAAATCACTTATGTACAGTAAAATGATGTACAAAAGGTACAGAATACTGTGCATGTGTCTAACTCTTGAGTATTTTCAAGAGGAATGTATTTGAATGTGCATAGTGTCTCAAGTAGGGTACATATGAAACTGAAACTGGAAAGGCTGAATGTGACTCATTTTGGTAGAATGCCTGTT